AGTTTCTTAATACCTGAAAGGAAGAGAAAAGGTTTCTTGTTAGAACATTGAACAAGCTGGAGAATGAAGTGGAACTGGGAACGAATGTGGTGCAGGACAGCGTGAGACAGTGCTGATGGAGAGACAGAGGTTGAGAGTGTGCATATGGCACTGATTGTGGGTCTCAGGATGGTATTGTTTGAAGGGAAATTTAATTTAACTGATTTATTTGAGGAAGTAACGTGCTGTGAACAAACATGAACCAGTGAACTTACTCATGTTTCATATGACGTTTAACAAGTTGTCACATCAAAGTTTACTGTGGGCAATAATGGCTCATGGTTATTGGGGGTACTTGACATGAATAGAAGATTGACTAGCTAACAGAAAATCATGACGAGACAATAATTGGATCCTTTTCAGATTGGCAAGATGTAATGAGTGGTGTGCCATTGGGATCAGTGCTGGGGTCTCAACTTTTTACAACTTCTCTGAGATAATAACTAGGGATCTAACTTGTCCAGTAATAATGTCAGCTGGGATCATAATGGGTGAATCCAAACTAGAGCATAAAAATCATAGAATCAAACATCATAAACCTTAGCTGGTCACAGACAAATCCTGTCAGAAATTCTGCAGAACCATCTTTACCCAGAGAGTAGGAGCGTAGAAAATACACATTTCTAATTCAGACATGTATCTGCTACTGACTGAGACACAATTCATACCATATACAGTATATCTTATATATGAGGTAAGCTGATGAAAATGAAAAACTTTCACCCTTTGATCCCTTAAAGACCAAATAGGTCCTAATTTTCTTTGCCTCAGTGTTAATTCATGCATGTACGGGAGGCTTACCCGTCAAAGATGGGGTACAACTCGCCGAATTGCTAAAATACAATGGCTTTATACTTTTTTTTACAAAGAATAGTTTTGCAATAAAAAGATTACACATTACACACTCTTATCTGTAACCAACAGTATTCATTCTACATTCCAAGTTAGTACACATGACTATATTACCCAATTGTTTCAAATCTGTACTGATTATCTATACATACTGTACATTTAATTATATTATCCAATCAAATCATTATATTTTAATATCCACTGACTCTACACACACACATTGTGATTATCAAAACTCTCTCCTGTCCATTTACTCCTTTCACTAAGATAGGTATTCTGGAATGTAACATATTTCACTTCTGTCAGTTTGTACCTCAGTAAATTAATTGGACTGAGTAGAACCAATCATTAGCATGAATTCAAACACTTACGAAAGTTATAGTTCAGAGGGAATCTTCAGCATGGATCAGGTTACATATGTACACATCCCTGAAAGAATTATTTCACCATGATTTCTTGAAATATTGAAAAGACCTTTAATTTCTGTCAAGGTCTCCACTCTCCAGCCACTGATAATTTTTCAGTTAATCCACAACCACAGTATTTTAACTGAGGCTTCGCTGAGCTTCTAACCCATAACTTCTCCTCCAACAGTGCTTTTCAAACTCCATTATACTGACTCATCACAGCTCATCTGGTTCTGGAACTCTTATCCACTCCATTGTCATCTCGAGATTCCATTATTCCAATACCCTTCTGTTCAATGACAAGTCCATAAGTCTGTATCCTTTTCAAATTCTCCATCTCATTGTTCCTCCACCACACCTGAACCATTGGATCGCACTGAGTTCTCTGCACTTGCCCGATTCTAACGTCTTGCAAACCACCAATTTTAATTGCTCCATCTTTGGCAGTCTGCCTTCAGCTGCCTTGGTCCCAAACTGTGAAATTCCCTTGGTAAACCTCACTGCCTCTCTCCCTCCTTCACACCATTCTTTGGCTCTAAGATCTCCACCTTTTGCTCAGTGTTAACTTCTGTCTGCTTAGCTCATCCATCCCGTGAGCCACATTTCTTGCTTTGACAATTTGCACTTTTACAACACAGATATAACGGGCTGAAGTTGTTTCGGGGCTCCCTACGCTCTTTGTTTGAACTAGTGATGTTAAATCTTTTACATCTACCTTTGAGGGAAGGAGTTTAATGCCTGATCCTAAAAGTGACACCTCTAACAGTGATGCACTCCTCAGCAATGCACTAGAGTGCCAAACTCAGTTCTCTTGTTCAAGGTTCTGTGCTCATCCAACCAAAGTTTTCAACTTTGTGAAACATTGAAAACTCTCAGAACATCCTTCCTCAGATAAGGAGACCAAAATTGCACACAATACTCCAGAAGTGGTCTCACCAAGACCTTATACAATTGCAGCAAGACTCTCCTGTGCTTGAATGCTCTCACTGTGAAGGCCAACATCCCATTTTCCTCTTCAATGCCTGCTGCACCTGCACACTCAACAGTCCATTATGAAATCTGTGATTTTGTTCATTGTCTCCTTATAGAAACAAGCTTTAAGGTGGAAGTAACACATCTGTGGGACTAAAAAAAATCAGCAACCGGAACAAAAGAGAAAAGATGCAAAATGCATTCTTTATTTAAGTGCTTTTTCCCCCATTCATGTTGCATTCTTTGCCTCTGCAAATGTTTTTTGGCATCATGTGAATTATTGTTCCCCATGGTTTGTTCATTTACTCATCGTGACAATGAGTCCAATCACAACTACAGTTCCAAATCCATCCACCAGTCAGCTGCCCATTGAGCTTAGAATAGCAGCTGTATGTTTCTTCCTGAGGCACAGCTACAAATACAAACAATAGCACTGATGGTGGGAAGGAAGCAAATTTCAATTAATGTGAACAATAGATTGAGAACCGGAGCAGTGGAGAGTGTGAATCACCAAGTCTGTGTTTGGTCTGCTTCACTGCTGGACAAAAGCAGCAGGTGCATAGGAACACCACAAGTTTCAGCATCCAAGTCACACACTGCCAATCCTTCAGTATCACAATCCTATCAGTCTCTAACCACCAGCACTTTATCCCATCGGCCACAGATCTTCAACATCGTGACTTAGTAGCATTGCTTAGTTTGGATGGTTGCTTAGGGTTGATTAGCTTGGTTTGCAATGCAGAGTGACACTGACCTTAGAGAGGTTTTTGAAATCATGAGGGGCATGGATAGGGTAAATAGGCAAGGTCTTTTGCCCAGGTTGGGGGAGTCCAAAACTAGAGAGCATAGGTTTAAGGTGAGTGGGAAAAGGTTTTAAAGAGGCCTAAGGGATAACTTTTTCAAGCAGAGGGTGGTGCATACACGGAATGGATGGGTACATGAATAGGAAGGGTTTAGAGGGATATGGGCCAAATGCTGGCAAATGGGACTAGATTTATAAAGGATATCTGGCTGGCAGGGATGAATTCGACTGAAGGGTTTGTTTCCATGCCATATACTTCTGCGATGCTATGAACTGCAAAACTAAATTAAAATTAATTAAAGCTCTAATCCCTATACAAACTCCCCCTTAGACATATACTCCCATACTCTCTGCACACTCACAAACTCACTCGCACTCACTCACACAGACACAGACACACACACAGACACACAGATGCACAGACAAACACAGACAGAGACATAACACACAGAGACACATGCACGCAAACACACACACAGACACAGACACACGTGCACACAAACACACACACACAAATACATTGACAGGACAGAGGGAAGTCGGGAAAGTAGTTCAGTCATCTTTAGCCACAATATCTGCTTCCTCTCAGCTTTTCTCATCGAACTCTTTCTCACTCCAAACCCCCAATTTCAAAAAGCACAGCAAATTAAAAGACATGGTCTTTACCCATGAAATGACTGCTTTGTCATTAACACAGAGAACCTGGGAGAGAATTTTTTTGTTAAAGTCTTTTGACTGCTTCAGTCACAGCGATTGCTTTATGAGGAGGAGATTGACAACGCAGTACTGGGTTCTGATGCAAGACATCAGCACATTCAGTGAGGAGATAGAGGAAGTAGTCAGTCAGTTTATCTCCTTGAGTGTTGCTGCTGCAGAAGTCAAGCCTCCAACCTTGGGCAGGTCAATTAGTGCCCACCTTTCCTGTAATTCAGAGTTTTAAGGATCAGATCATAATGAACCCCTTCATGGATTCTGGGAAGAATAAAAATGGATTAATCTCCAAATTCTCTTCTCCTTTCTGCACTGTTTCATTCTTGTCATTGTCCCATTTGAAAGAACAGGAAAAAGACTTCAGGGTAACTTTCAATATGGGTCAGTAGTTCCCAAGCATCCCATTCCACGATATAACTTGATGTGGATTTAGTGAGTGCAGCAGGCTATTTAAGACAGTTAACATCATCGACAAAATCATGCACACATTCAAGATTCAGAAGCTCAAGACATGATTTGCTTTATCTCCTCTTAGCCTAAAGACATTGAGGCTATTTCTTTTCCTCTCAGCTGGTCTCAGTGTTTAGGAGTCAGAAGATTTTTGGTTCAAGCCTCATTCCGGAGACTAATTGCGTTTTGTAGTATGTAATTTTCTGCTGTGTTTTCTACGTTACAACGGTGAATGCACTTCAAAAATGTCTTCACTGGCTGTTATGTGCTCTGGGATATTCTGAGATAATGGTGCTGCCATGTGAATGCAAGTTCTGTCTTTGATTTGATTTATTATTGTCACATGTACCTAGATACAGTGATATGGTTTGTTTTGCATGCAGAACAAACAGATCATACCATACAAACTGCATTATGGTAACAGAAAAGAGTGAAGAATACAATGTTATAGGTGCAGAAAAGGTGCACAAAGAGTGAGATCAACATTAAATTTAAAATTTGAGGGATGATTAATTTCAAAAGTTGGATGTTCAATCCCAAGACATTCTGGTTGTACAGTGGAAATGTTCATTTCCTGTAGAAAAACACGATGCATTTTAATGTTTGTTTCTGAGTTTGGGAAAAAAATGAATATTTTTAGACCTTTTCAAAAACCTTAAATGCTTGTGGATGGCCAGAGCATGTTGTTGTATTATTTGTTATCATGAATTCACTGAAGACTTTTTTTTTTCTTCTTTCAGTTAAGCCTTTTTGCCATATCTCTGACAATGAGCAGTGTCAATCTGGATGGTGCCTCCAACAACTCAAACTATTATGACGAGGACTATAACTATACTGACTTTGATCTCACTCCCTACCTTCCTTGTGGGAAGGATGAAGTCAGAGCCTTTGGGAAGATCTTCCTCCCAGTCCTGTACATCACGGTTTTTGTTTTTGGAGTGATTGGCAATAGCTTTCTGATCCTCATGATACTCAAGTACCTTAAATTGAAAACGATGACTGACATCTACCTATTGAATTTGGCCATCTCTGACCTACTGTTTAGCACGTCACTTCCCTTCTGGGCCACTTATGTGACTTCAGAGTGGATCTTCGGAAATACCATGTGCAAAATAATAAGTGCCCTCTACAGTGTGAATTTCTACAGCGGCATCTTCTTCATAGCCTGCATGAGCTTGGACATGTACCTCCACATTGTCCACACAGTATCCTTGAAGAACCACAGGACGATCTACAACAGCATTGTCGTCAGTGCTGCTGTATGGACACTGTCAATAATTGTTTCAATCCCTGAACTCATATTCAGTGTGTCCAAGAAGATTGGTGATAGGCATACTTGCCTTAGTCATTTTGGCGATGAGCAACTGGTGATCTGGAAGACAACGGTACAACTCCAGGTCAACATCATTGCGTTCCTCATTCCATTTTTTGCCATGATCTTCTTCTACGCTCGGATCGCCTCTGTCCTGCTTCACTCGAAATCCTTCGGCAAGGAGAAAGCCTTAAAACTGGTCATCATATTGTTTGCCGTCTTCTTCGTCCTGTGGTTCCCCTACAACATCGTCCTTTTCCTGCATTCCCTGGAAGAGCTTGGCATCATTGGTAATTGTGAAATGAGCAAGAGGCTGGATTATGCCTTGCAGATAACTGAGTCTATCGCCTTCACCCACTGCTGTTTCAATCCACTCCTCTACGCTTTTGTGAATGAAAGATTTCGGAGACATGTGAAAAATATTTTGGTGAAGCTAATTCAGAAGATTGGCTGTAACAAGGAGTTAGGAGTCATGGTCCCCACTGCAGAGCGTAGTGAAACTAGCAAGCAGCAATACTGCATGTATTCCGATGTGGAAATGACAATGGTCCAGTAGTGGTCTGGTAAAGGAGACATAACATCAGTTAGAACTCTGCTTCAATGTTTCAAATCATGTTGTATTGAATCCTCTCAAAGGTATTCAAACCTGTCAGAATGTAAAAATGCTTATGAAGTGCCAGTCAAGCTGACCATACCAAAGACAGTGAAGCAAATCACAATTTGATGACTTGGAATCTCTAAATATTCTGCCAGACATAAACATCACATGGCTCTCTGTTACACAATTTCTGTACATGTTCTCTAATCCAACCTTCTTCAACTTCTCCTAACTCTTGCCATATCGTCCACTCCTCACCTTAGTTTTGTCTTTGCACTTCCATAGTTGAGTGACAATAGTGTAGTGGTTATGTCTTTGGGCTAGTAACCCAAATACCTATGCTGATGCTCTGGGTTCAAATCCCACCACAACAGCTGGTGGAATTCAAACTCATTTAATAAAAGTCTGCAATATAAAGCTAATTGTCTGTGATGGTAACCATAACAACTATCACTGATTATTGTAAAAACTCATCTGCTATACGAATGCCCTTTAGGAAAATGAATATGCTGTACTTACCTGGTCTGGCCTACATGTGACTCCAGACCCATAACAACGTGGTTGACTCTTAACTGCCCTCTGAAATGGCCAAGCAAGCCACTCAGTTCAAAGCGCAATTAAGAATGGACAACAAAACAACTTGACGGTGACCCCCACATGAAAAAGTAAAGGAAAAGGTATTGTCAATAGTGGATGTTTGGGAACAATGATGTTTATCATTGCTTAAGTCCAGTCACCATGGAAACCACAATTCAGTCAGAGACCATAAGAACATAAGAAATATGAGGAGGAGTAGGCCATCTGACCCTTGAGCCTGCTCCGCCATTCAATAAGACCATGGCTGATCTTTTTGTGAACTCAGCTCCATTTACTTGCCCACTCACCATAACATTTAATTCCTTTACTGTTCAAAAATCTATCTATCTTAGCCTTAAAAACATTTAATGAGGAAGCCTCAACTGCTTCACTGGGCAGGGAATTCCACAGATTCACAACCCTTTGGGTGAAGAAGTTCCTCCTCAACTCCGTCCTAAATCTGCTGCCCCTTATTTTGAGGCTGTGTCTCCCCTAGTTCTAGTTTCACTTGCCAGCGAAAACAACCAGCCTGCTTCTATCTTATTTATTCCCTTTTTAATTTTATATGTTTCATTTATATGATATCATTTTGAAAGACATGTTTAGTAGATAAATGATAGAGGGTTCCCTGGGAACAATGTAAACAAATTACTCTAATTGGTTTAACCCCTGAGAAAATTTGAACCAATCAGAACAAGTGGATCAAGACAAAATGACTTTTGATTAGTTCCTAGAACTTTAGCACCGTAGAAAAGTACAGCAGAGAAAGAGGCCATTCAGCCCTTCATGGCTGAATAAATTAGCTGCCCCATTCTTATTCCCACTTTGTCCAGCTCCTGATCTGTAGCCTGACAGGTTACAATGTTTCAGGGGTAGGTCCAGGTTCCTTTTCAATGAGCTGAGGGTTTACACCTCAACCACCAAACTGGGCAGCAATTTCTAGACACCTGGCCACTCTCTTTATGAAAAACATTTCCCTCCCCCCACCCCAGTTTTTGTCCTCTCCATTCGGGGAAATAGGTCTTTCCTGTTCACTCTATCCAAGCCTATCCTTATTTTATACACCTTGATTCACTCAACACCATCCCAGCCTCCTCCGTCCTAAGAAAAACAATCCCAATCTGTCCAATCTTTCCTGCAATTTTCAAGCCCTGGCAACATTCTTATCATGCATCTCTGTAGCTACTCCAGAGCAATTATGTCCTTCCTCTAAGCTCATGACCAGAACTATAGACTAAATTCTAAACTATGTTTAAGCAGCTTTTTATACAGTTCAAGCATTAAATTCACAGATTCATACGGCGCAGGAAAGGCCCTTTGGCCCATTGAGCCTGCACCAACATAACTACCACTAAAGATTCACTAATCCCAATTTTCTGCACTCGTCCCATATCCTTGAATGTTATGATATTTGAAGTCCTCTTCCAAATATCTTTTAAAATTTACCAGCCTCCACTACTTTCCCAGGCAGTGCATTCCAGATTCCCACCACCCACTGAGTGAAAAAGCTTTTTCCTAAATCCCCTCTGAATTTCCTGCCCCTTACCCTAAAACTATGCCTCGATGATCCCTCAATCAAGGAGAACACTCTCTATTCACCCTGTCCATACCCCTCAATCTTATATACCTCAATCATGTCCCCCCTCAGTCTTCTCTGCTCAAGAGAAAACGACCCAAGCCTGTCTAGTCTCTCCATACAGCTCAATTTCTACATTCCAGGCAACATCCTGGTGAACCTTCTCTGTACTCCCTTTAGTGCTATCACATCCTTCCTGTGGTGAGGTGATCAGAACTGTACACAGTACTCCAGCTCCAGGTAACCAATGCTCTGTACTACTCCAATGTTACCTCCTTTCTCTTACACTCTACGCTAACTGATGAAAGCAAGTGTCCCATATGCCTTCTTAGCTATCCTATTCACATGCTCTGCCGACTTCAGGGATTTGTGAATAATTACCCCAAGATCCCTCTGCTCCTCTAAGCTACCAGCATCCTGGCATTCACTAAATACCGGCTCATTTTGTTTCTGCTTCTAAAGCGCATCACCTCACACTTATCAGGGTTAATTACCATCTGCCACTGCTCTCCCCATCTGCCCAACCCATCTGTGTCTTCCTGTAACGTACAACCATTTTCTTCACTACTAACCACTTTACCAATCTTGGTGTCATCTGCAAATTTGCTTAACATTCCCCCCCAAAATTTTTATCTATATTGTTGATGTATATATCAAACGGTAAGGGTCCGAATACTGATACCACTGGATACCGGCCTCCTTAAATCCCTGCCTTTGTCATCTATTCCTTCTCCAATGAAGGAAACATTCCATATGCTTTCTTCTCCCCCTTATCGACTTGTTCTGTCACCTACAGGGACCTTTGGACAGTCACTCCCTGGTCTTTCATTTCCTCTATCCTTCAGACTATTGTGTATTCCTTTGCTCCATTTGTTCGCTTTGCTAAATCTAACCGTATTATGGTTACTATTTCTAAAATAACGACTCACTGCTACTGCATCCACTTGCCCAGTCTAACTTCCCAAAAATAAATCTAGAATTGCCTTTCCTACCTTTTCCCTTTGCACATTGTTCCAGTTGAAATAATCATCCACGGATCTGTTAAATAATTCAATTGAACCTATCCCTACCACACCACCAGCCAGCACATTCCAGACCTCATTGTGTGAAAAAAGTGTGGTTACAACATGTATTTGCATTCCTTTGCATATTCTCTTGGCATGCATATGAGGATTTATAAAACATGTTTTTACATCTGTTGCAAAGCCATCCATCTGCTTTGTTGATAACTGCGGTGTGTCACATGTAGACCAGCCAAGAACAGAAGATTTCCTTTCCTAAAGGACATTAGCGAGCCAGACTTTTTATTGACAGTGGCTGCATGCTCATTATTAGACTAGCCTTATAATGCTAGACTCTTATTTAATTCAAATTTTATCATCTGGATTTTAACCCACACCCAACAAAACAAAAAACTGTCGATGCTGGAAATCTGAAACAAAAACAGAAATCGCTGGAGGAATGCAGCATGTGTGGCAGCTTCTGTGAAGAGAGAAAATCGAGTTCACATTTCGGGTACAGTGACACTTCTTCAGAAAACCACAGGGTATTAGCCCAGGCCTCTGAAGTACTAATCCAATAGTATGAACCTCTGAGTGCAGAGACATGATTTAGAATCTAAAAGAGAGAATTAAGACAGTTGCTCTGTGGAGGAAAAGAAGTTATGTCAAATCTACATGCACCTCTCCATCGCATAGACATACTCACTGGAGAGTTTAATGGTTTAATTCGTCAGTCTGTTGAAGCAACATCAATTTGAATCTATGCAGTAAAAAACTCGGAAACTTTTCATAGGAATTTAAACAAGCAAAAATGAACTTCTCATCAAATGTTTGGACTTGTGACCTGCTTGGTCAGTGACTTAGGTTTTAAGCAACTTCATAACGGAGGAGGGAGAGATGGAAAGGTAAAGAGGTTTGGTGAGGAAACCGTTCTCACGTTACCATTCGCACTATTAAAATGAAACTAAACTCAAAGCTGTAAATTTTTACAGTGAGCACATTCTGTAAAATTCAGAAAGTAGACAGTTGAAAACACCCTCTTTGATGGTTGATTAGAAGAGGCAGGACATGCACAGGAAGCCAGAGTTAGGGGTAAACAGGAAGTTGCAGAGAAGGGGAGCGTTGATTCTTTACTCTGTGGAGTTGGTATCCTCTGGAGAAAACTAATTATCCAGACATTCACAAGATTGCGACACTATTATCAGAAACTTAAAGGATTAAATCACTTGTATTGCTTCTATCAATGGCCCTCTTCATCTATTGTCATCCTATTCCCTATCCTACATCCAAATCCCTTTCTGTTGTTCATTCTCAAATACTTCCTTCTTTAACCTGACAGAAGAGTCTGTCTCAAAAATGTTTAATGTTCTAATAACCCTCTATGCAAGCAAAATCTCCGGGTCACATTCGAAATGTTCACACAGCATACACCTTCTCAGTTACTACATCATATGATGTCAGTTTCTGGGCCAATATCCTTTCTCTGTCTAGCTGTGTGTGCAGAGGATCGCTGTTTCCCTGTGGATGGGTTTCTTTGAGCAGATTTTTCCATTGGTCTAAATCTTTGCAATGTGGCGAGATGCACAGGGAAGCTCCATGTATAGCAAGGTGAACATTATTGACAATTACTTCATACTGGATCTTTTCCTTTAATACTGCTTCTGTGAACTATTATAAAGCTGTACATTATGCAAAATTCATAAATATATTTTCAAGCATTAGCAAGAACAAAAATGATTTATAACCAAACAATTACACATCTACTAGCCAATTCCAAATAACTGTGCTTTTGGATGTACCCTAAACATACACAAGTTATATAAACGTATATTCTACATATATACTTGTTATACAAATATGCATACATCTAAGTGTACAAAAGAGTTTCATACACAATATGTTCATTAGAACGTATCTCCTTGAAAATTCAATAAATCTCTGAGGAAATATATAAGGCTTTTTATTCTTAAATTAGAATGAAATAAAAAATGACTTGGTACTAGGAATTACAAATATTAGGTTGGAAATTCTATGGTGACCAACTTACTGCCTTTTTCCCACCAACAATAAGTCAGGAGTGTGATGGAATACTCCCCACTTGCCTGGATGGGTGCAGCTCCAACAACACTCAAGAAGCTTGACACCATCCAGGACAAAGCAGCCTGCTTGATTAGTACCATATCTGCCACCTCCAACATTCACTTCCTTCAACACTGAGTCGCTGTCAAAGAAGTACATACCATTTACAT